CGTGTTCAATCCATCATCAATATAATGATAATATTTCTGATCATCCAGTGTCAGGCAATATATCACAAGTACATCTTTCTGAACAGAATGAATCTTCTATCTACCCTCCTTTCAGTAACCCTCGTTTATCTCAAATTGTGCAGGAAGAAGTTAGCGCTCCTATATTGGCACGTCGTGCTTCAATGCCAGTAATGGCTTTTCCTTCTCGATTTTCTGAACCTGTACAGCAAGATGGTACAATGCCGATGGACGTTGACCGTTATCGCACACAAGTCTATTCATCTCATCATCATTCATATCATCCATATGCTTATGATTATCAGGGTTACATTCAACAAACAACTCCAGTGAAGGAAACTCCTTATTCTCGTTCTCCTGAATTGAGGATATCACATAAATTGGCTGAACGTAAAAGGAGAAAAGAAATGAAAGAACTTTTTGATGAACTTAGAGATTCATTACCTGTAGATAAAAGTTTGAAGACAAGCAAGTGGGAGATTTTGAGCAAAGGTACACAAATTTCCTCTCTCACTCGACTATTTATAAATTACAGCTAATATACCTCCTTTTTCTTAGCCGTCGAGTTCATAAACAATCTAAAGCATAGTCAAGATGAAATGACCAAAGAAGTTGAATCATTGAGACAACAGCTTGCTGCGTTAAAAGGATGTGGCAACGGGTAAGGTCCATATCAAAAATTATCAATTTTTGAAAACAATTTAGTTTATTTGATATTTTTAATTCATTATAATGTTACTTATTGATCTTAGTGAATCAAGCACGCCAACTACAACATCTTAATATGTTTTTACCATAATTACGGTGGGATTCTTTACACGTTTTCTTTGGAAATCTAAAACAAATTGGGTTATTATTTTTATTTATTACATTCCATAGAAAAAATTTGAAATTGTTTATTTGGTTCGTAATATTTTTGTATCATAAATTTTTTCATTTTATTTTTATTTTGATTTTTTTTTATAAAAAAAAAAATATAAATATATATATATATATATATATAGTACTTTTTGATTTTTTTGTACATTCTATTCCTTCTTTATTATATTACTTATTCCAGTTCTAAATATTCCCTTCAGAATGTAATTACTTTCGTTTATTATATATATTTTTTTTCGTTATCATAATTTAGATTAAAAAATTTCATTCGTTTATTGATTTTCTTCATTTGAAATGAACATTTAACATACAGTATCTCGAATGATTCCTTCACCTCTTTAAGTCGCTTATTTATTATTGTACTAACTTTACTAAATAAAAAAAAATGAAATAAAAAATAAATTATAATAAAGTAATATTATTTGTATAATGTTTGGAAACTTTTTTTAAAAAAACACTCTTAAAGAAGACGCTTTTGGAGGCGTTTAGACACTTCGAAGGCGTTTTCATATGAGTTTTAATACTATTAGAGCATTTCTACCATTCTTTGCATCAACCTTACATTAAATAAGTTGATAAAGGATAGGTTAAACTTGTTAGTATTGATTAACAAAAATGTATATTAAACTTTTATAAATAAAATTCTTATCCTTATATAAACTAGTTCACACTAACAAAAAATCTAATATAAATTATCATGATTATATAAGCAGAAAATTGAATCAATACTTTAAAAATAATATATTAATAAATAATAATTCAATCATGAAATTTTTGGTTTTTTGATTTCTAGTAACCTTTGTATGTAGGAATTGTTTCTTCGTTATATATTATATTGAAAATTATTTTTTGATTTAATCAGCACGACAAATGATTTTTACTGGTTTCTTT